GGTGTTCCTTTCGGGAGTAATAACTAGAGAAAACGAATTAAGTTAAGCCAAATTCTACACTCACCGGAAGTTTTCTACGTATCCCTGAGACTGCAAATGGTGTCCGGGGCTAGCCTCATGTGCATTCACTGTGAACTCAAAGTACTTTGGCCCCATTCGATCAACAAAGAAGGGCACCTTGTACTTGCTGGGCGATTGACATGAACTTCCACTCGTAGAATAACTTTGCACGGGTTGTAAGGGATTGAATGATATTTCCATAGCAACTGGGCAGGTGGGAACGGTGGTCTTGTTTCCAGTGAAGTAAAATAAATCTGTCAATTTTGGCAGAAGGCGTGAAATGGTGTTGCGTGACAAATCCAGCCATTTTAACATCGTTTTGTAACGCTGTGGACAATAGATTTGGGCGGCTGAAAAAAATCGTCAACATGTAAGTAAGGAAAATAATTCCCTACACGGTGGTACATTTCGAGCATGTGTGTACGTCATCGCATGATCGTAAAACAAGAATTTCTTGCATGTTATGTCAACTAGCATGCTACCTACCCTCCTCACTCTTGCATTTGCGAAAGGCCTCTTCATTAGATTCATTTTCCGGAAAAGGGTTTTCATTAAAGTACATTTCCGTCGAGTTGAGGTATTTTGTAAACTGATTTACAGCTATCTCCTCCGTGTCCTGTTTGGTGATCTTCTTAGCAATATCCACCGCTTGTAGGTAAAGTTTCTCCAACATCTCCCAGCCCAAATCTTGAACTTCAACTGAAATATTGAAGGTTAAAACGCTAATGATATGACTAAAGGTGAAGAATACAAACGAGGTGGACGTGGCCCCACCGCAGCGGCACCGCAGCACCACCGCGGCACCACCGCGTTCCGTCAGTTCCGCCAGTTTTATGTAAAGTAGTTTAGATCACGCGGAGATCATCGCAATCGATATCAGGCTAGAAGGTTACTAAATTTTTAACACACCCCAACTGCCACCATTTTCGATTAACTGCATCGCACCTTTCTCAAGCAACGTTTCTTTTATAAACAACGCCACTAATACCTACAGATAGCCATTCCAGCTTAAGGGGAATCTTAATGTGATTGTTCCTTATCTATAATGGAATATGTGCAGTACCATCAAGACTGATACATCCTGGTATGCTCCGAATTCAAATAAGATGCTGGTGTAAAATATCCCCCTCCCTCCCTTCCCCCAGTGAAAAATCCTTCCTTCTTTCCTGGGGCATGGGTTCTCTTTTTTGATTTGCTTCAGTTACCTGGTGTAATTTCTTGTGTTGTGTAGTAAGACAAGAAGTTTTTGTAAGACTCCTTTCCAGGTAGGACCGTGTTTCCTTCTCTGAAAGTCGGATTTGTCATCTCCAAGGTTTTACTCCCGTTGAGGTAGACATGATTGACAGGCAACGTACCCAGTCCACTTGACACATTGGTCGGTAAGCAGTGTGACAAGTGTTCATTCTGAAGGTACTCAAATAAATCAAGCAACGGTGATCCAACATTACGAACGAGGCTCTCCTCCACAACATCAGCACCATTCATTCCGTGCTTTGCCATAATCTTTGCAGCCTCGTGGGAGCTTAGTTCAGAGACAAAGGTTGAAATTTGATCTTGAAAAGCCGTCAGGATTCCGCGGCCCGATTGCTGCGAAGAGACCTCAATGTAAATGTCTTCTAGACATTCTTTTCCTTCTTTGCACACAGTGACGGACCCTACCATACCGGTTCGAATCCCGCTTTTCAAGTTTTCCTTGAACTGTTTAATCCCGGTTTTGAATTTGGCGAGAAGATTCAAAGCTGCTTCCAGTTCAGACGCTGTCTTAGGAGCGAAAAGGAGAAATACGGTGGTGAGCTGTTGCTTGATAGATGTGATGCCCTTGAAAGTCCGATAGCAGTACCTGCCTGGTCCCAACATCCAGTAACCTAGAAAAAATCAGTCGAAGAATGAACCACAGACGAGTATCGATATCACGAAGAGCCTAGGTACTGAAAAAATCTTTGCATCGTTATCAGGTGATGTTTTACCACGAACTGGGAATTCGGAGTTCATACACTTGACCATTTCTAGTGTGAAATTTCCCTACGGTATAGAAGGATAGCGAAGGTAAATTTTGTAAAGAGCTTCGTAAGCGAGAGACCCAAACAGATACCCTTTCTGTGATCGTCATGAAATCGATTTAAGCATTCAGAGATTGATCTTTTGACAACATTTGAAACACTACGCAAATTCTGCACTATGGTTTATTATAATTTGTCTTTGGACCACTAATGCACGTTCCTTCTCAAAGATTTTCCATCGCGAAGAGACGACTCTTGGCATTCTGAAAGTGTTAACATACACTTTGCGATAAATCAATTTGTCTTTGGACACCTAATAAACGCTCCTTCTAGAAGATTTCCTTTGCGAAAAAATAATTCTTGGTATTCTGAAAACGTTACCAAATACGGTGTAACTCAGTTCTCTCAATCCAAACTTACCGGCTAAATAATTGTTTTCAAAAGGCCGCCCGAAGTAATGCTTCAAGAAATGATGCGTTTTAGCGATCATGCGCCGTTCACGTGTAAGGAGAAGCTTCTTGTCGATCTTTAAACTTCCCAACTCCTCCAACATAGAATGCGCGCGTTCAGAAATGGCTTTGATACTCTCCGGGGTTGGGTTATATGGTTGGAATATCTTTTTCTTATCTTCAATGGAGACTCCTGTCATGAAACGAGCATCGTAGGGATGAAGCTCACGGACGGTACTATCAATCCTCTTCAAAAAGTCAAGGAGACCTGAAACAAAATAATATAAATTTAATTTAGGGTAAACATTTAATAAGCGCAAGGAGAGAGCAAATACACCGAAATTGTATGGAACGACAGGAAAAAGATGACCATTTCTGTCTGACAGTAAAAGAACATAAAGGAATATTTGATCTTTTAGCGTGTATTTTCATGTGTCGAAAATTGCTGGTTTATGTTGCGCTTAAAGCTTACCACGCCAGTGTGGAGAATGGGACCCAGTAAAGCGTGAACCGTTAAACCAACTTTGGACGTCATTTGGAGAAGCTCGTAATTTTCTCTACTCTGAGTATAAGGTGAAATAACCATCGTCTCGTATGTCTCAGTCAGTACAGTCAGAACAAGACGTTATAAACACTTGGTTCTCAAGGAGTTACGGTCTGTAAGGTTCAGCCGGAAGTGTGAAGCGGTGGTCCCAAAGAGAGCTCTTTTGGAACGTCTCGGCAAAAATTTTCTTTAGATTTTACATAGCAGCAAGTATATTAGGTAAATGACGACGAAAAGGTCAATTTGTTTATTGCATCCATGACTTCTCCTCAGTCCTCTGACATGAGGTACTACACAGTGATGTAAAACACCATTGGTCACGGCTGGTTGCTCAGCGCATATTAAGTTAAATAATCCCTTAAGTGGTGCATTTGTCAAAAATCATTTTAGTTCGCAGCTGGTGATTGTGAATAATAATGGTCTCCTTCGCAGCAGTTATTTTTTTAAGAGGGGAGGAGTAAGGGAACGTCTCTAAAGAGGCTGCGTGGGAGACTAACTTAACCAGGAGCAATAAGAAATCTGTTGGCTGCTTCCCCGAACAATCTCCGAGCTTATATAACATGTGCTTTGTTTAAATTCCTGCAAGAATCTTTCAGTTGCACTAGCATTTTCGGCTCACAAATTGCAATATTGTACTCTCACCTACACGCTTTGCCTCGGCTGAAAATGCGCACTTTGCAATCTCATCATCTTCACGGATGTCTCCCTCAATGCTTGTTTTATGTGTCTCAGATTTGGCGCTACGACTCTTCACTAAGAGAACCAAACCTATGATAAAGAAAATAAAACCCAGCACTGCTATGAGAGCTGCAATCACAAAAGCTGTCTTTCGTTTAACTCTGAATAGCTTGTGGCGTTTTTTTGTCGCGGATTCGTACTGAATTTTGTCTGAATATCCAGGTGCTAATGCTTGCCCAGCTTCGATCTCTGCCATCTTAGATGTCTGCAAACCACTGCAAACAGAATTTGCGGGCTTCAGTTGACAAATTGATTACCGATACCGTTTTACAGTTGTATGGTATTCAGTCACGCATCGAGAAAGAAAGCTGAAATGTAAATTTTATCAGTATCATTCAAGCATGAATTTTACAAAAAACAAGTATTGGGTGAAGTTTATTTAAATAAATTATTTGAATAACAAAAGTGGAACTCATGCACAGTAAGCTTGTTTCGGTGAAAGATCAGTTCAGTCTCTAATTTTCAAATTGAGTCAAAAACGGCAAAAAAAAAGATGCTCGCGAAACTTCTGTCGAGCGTAAAAATTGATCTTTTCTTTCTTTCTTTCTTTCTTTAGGAAAATGGCGAAATGATTCATCAATTTTCAATGCATGTCAACAGAGTGGAAAAGTGTTTGCTCGACGTGACGTCTGCCGAAGAGGTTAACTTTATTCTCTCCGCATAAGTGGTCATTCATTTGTTGTAAAAATCCTAAGTTCTCATTGGAGACAGCGTTCACTCTAGAAAACTGAATACATGAGAAGAA